CGCCAGCTGCAACATTATGCTGCATGGGCCATCTCAATTCTTAGAAACTATATGCGGTCCAGGGAAGCGTCAAGTCTCAGTAATGAAATCCAACCTGATGACTCTCAACGTAATGCCATCTCTCACAATGTTCCTGAGCATGCCATGGTCATGAAACTTGCTCAAGGCCTGACAAATCCAAGTTTGGCATTGGTATGTCTTCTTAAAAGCTTTCTGATAGTACTAGTTTTCTATAATCGTGGATGGTTGGAACAACAAAAACAAAACTTATAATTGTTCAATCTTAGGTTCCATTAAATTGCTGCAACAATTTAAGTAAAAGGTGATTTAGTTCAGGATAGAGATCTCAAGCTGTTTTTCATGCTTATTAATCTTTGTTAAAATTTAGGCGGGTAGCACTCTGAATTCTCGCACAATGGCAAGCGCTTTGCGGTGTTTGTCTCATGCTCCGAGATTGCCAAACTTTGGCTGGGGAGCAACAATAAGGCGATTAATGAAACTAGAGACTCAGCCTGATGTATCGCAGTCAGGCTATCTTCCAAAGGAAATAACTCTTAGGGAAGAGTGCTTCAAATTTTCATTAGCCCATGCAAGCGAATTTGATGAACTTCTAGCTTTTCTGGACGAGTTGTCTGAACTATCCAGATTCAAGGCACTAGAGCAGAGCCTCCAGTCATGCCTGCTCTGTCATCTAGGCTATTTAATGAGAATATTCTCAGGTTCAAGAATGGATAAATTGTTTGACGATATCTCTTGCTTCGTAATCTCGCTATCTTCAGGCCAAGTATATAGTTGTGATCAGAAAAGCTCATTGAGGGTCTCTTATTGGAAGGGTCTGAGTCAGTGTCTCGAAGAAACTTCCCTTGAATCTTCAGGATACATCACAAAGATTGAAACATGCATAGAGTTACTTTTCGGGGTCTTACCAGTAGCATCACAATCTCCTAAAGCAGATCAGATTGGTGCGGTGAAAGAGTGGTCAGAGGCAGTTGGATGTTTGCAGAAGTCGCGTCGGGATTGGTTATACAAATTTCTACAGGTATATGTAATATCGGCTTCATGCGTTGACTTGTAAGGTACGTTACGTATCATCTTTGAGGACATCTCTCCGTTTGACTGAGATTTTCTCGCATGCAGGTTTCGAGTCTTGAACCTGGAAACGGAAAGATTGACTTCGAAGGTGATATAAAGAAGATCCAGGCAAAAGCCAAGCTAGCAAGACTTGGCTCAATTCCATTTTCTGAGTTAGGAAAATTGAAGGCTACAGTATTAAATTGTGAACATTCAGGTCAGTGACTATCCTCAACTGCTATATGCGAGCTAGACACAATGAAAGATCATGATACAATCAAATTTTTCGTCTTTGTTAGATATATGGGATGCGCACATTGAGATAGTAGCAGCTCTGCATCACGCCGAAGGAGGAATCAAAAGACAGTGGCTCCTTGATGCTGTTGAAATCAGCTGCGTTTCTAGCTATCCTTCCAATGTAAGACATATCAGTGTTAAGATCTCCATCAAAAGAGATTATCTTGTTTTTTCTTTATGTTGAAATCGGTTTTCCTCCTTGTACAGGCTATTTACTTTGTTGGCCTCCTCTCTAGTATCTGCTGCGAATACATGCCGTTTCTCACTTTAGACCGATCCACGGTTTTGAGCGATATGTCTGTTACCGTAACTTCTCTCCTAACTGATCCCAACTGGGAGGTTGTTGCGGAGCCTTTCATCTCGTTTCTATGGACATCATTGGAACGTGTTTACAGTTTTGCAACTGACTCTGGCGCTATTGCAAGGCAAAGCTCACAGCAAATTGAGCAAAGCGAAAGAGATTATGCTCCGATGCTTGTGAAGGTGATGCATTACATTTGTGTAGCCTTCAGAGACCATTTGCCTCACGAGAAACAGCTTAGACTTGCTGCTATGGCCATCCCTTGATTCCTTTTTAAGTTATTTAGGAGATTTTTAGTGATTTTGAAGGGAATTTTCATTGCCTTACTGTTGTTGTATATATGTTACAGTGAATATTTATTGGTTTATAATAGATATGTATATGTTGGTCTAAAGATGCATAGATTTATTGAAACATGTTTGCCTGATCTCTCATCCCGAAGAATGACCGCCATTATTTGCAGTATAATTTTTTGATTTTGAGATGTTAAAAAAACAATTCTGGATTTTTTACACGAGTCTCAAGAATTTTCAGTATTAAATTTAAACATATAATGTAAAATTTCTTGTGGAAAATATTATCAAAACAAAATTAAAAATGGGAATTTCTTATCATCGCAATCGTAAGCGTAACCAATAGGCAATAAGAGAGACTCTATCCTCTTGTCTGAATTGTTTAGTGTATACCCCACAAGATTTTCCACTGCCACGTGTCACAGCCATACCCTCTATCTATCTCATGCACGTGATTTGAGTTTGTGAAAATCTAAAATCAACCAATCAGAACTCGCTGACGTGTCCATATGCTGATCTATTACCGAAACATTATAAAAACGAAAACTCTTATCTATACATAACAATCACCAAACATCTCATCATCTCACTTATTGATTTCTTCTTCGTTTGGAGTTAGAATGGCCACATCAGCAATCCAACACTCCTCTTTCGCCGGCCAAACGGCCCTGAAGCCTTCCAACGATCTCCTCCGCAAAGTCGGAGCCTCCAACGGTGGTGGCCGCGTCGTCATGCGCCGTACCGTCAAGTCTACTCCTCAGAGCATCTGGTTCCTATCCCAATCGCTCTCTTTTATTACATTTCAAACGAACAAAAAATCATACAAATGATCTTGTGGTTTAATCTGGGTTTTGTTGGTTCGAAATTGAAGCTTTAATCAAATATCTATTTAATCTTGTGGTTATTGACCCCTTTTCTCGATTAGGGTTATTTTTCTTCCTAATATCATAAAAGTAATATCCTAATTAGAACTCGGTTTCATATTTTGTTAAGTTATTTTTTTGGATCGGATCAGATCAGTTTTAACCAAATTAAACGACTCTTCATTTCTTTGTTTCCTCAATTTTGATATAATTTCCAAAACATCTAATTCAGTACCCAACAAAAAAACTTGTGACAGGTACGGACCAGACCGTCCCAAGTACTTAGGACCATTCTCTGAAAACACACCGTCCTACCTAACCGGAGAATACCCTGGAGACTATGGCTGGGACACCGCCGGTCTCTCTGCTGACCCAGAAACCTTCGCAAAGAACCGTGAGCTCGAAGTGATCCACAGTAGATGGGCGATGCTAGGGGCTTTAGGCTGCACCTTCCCAGAGATTCTCTCGAAAAACGGAGTCAAGTTCGGTGAAGCCGTGTGGTTCAAGGCAGGTTCTCAAATCTTCTCGGAAGGAGGGCTTGATTACCTCGGAAACCCTAACTTGATCCACGCGCAAAGCATATTAGCTATATGGGCTTGTCAAGTTGTTCTGATGGGTTTCATTGAAGGGTACAGAATTGGAGGTGGACCTCTTGGTGAAGGGCTTGACCCGCTTTACCCGGGTGGGGCGTTTGACCCGTTGAACTTAGCGGAGGATCCAGAAGCATTTTCGGAGCTGAAAGTGAAGGAACTCAAGAATGGTCGGCTTGCGATGTTCTCAATGTTTGGATTCTTTGTCCAAGCCATTGTTACTGGCAAAGGTCCCATAGAGAATTTGTACGATCATTTGGCGGATCCTGTGGCGAACAATGCTTGGGCTTACGCAACCAATTTCGTTCCCGGAAAATAGAATTTGATCGGATAAATTTATGTATTTCGTTTATGTTTGAACAACTCAATGTATAAGGTTTAATATTAAAAGTCTGTTGGTTTCATTTTCTTGCTTGGTCAAACACATTCTCATTATCTATGAGACTCTTGTCTTGTGTGGTTTGATCGACAAAGGAGCAAAATAGCATCCACCACACCAACGTCATCTCTTCAATAGTTGGCAAATGAACATTCGACTATGGTCTTGATTTAAGCAGAAGTTTCCATAAAAAAAAAAAATCTTAAATATGCATATAAATTGTGACCCCTGATTTTTTATCAAAAGTAGCACATCAAATTATATACATTTAAAAATGTTATATTTATTTCCAAGCAAAAAAGACTTATTATGTACAATGTGGGTTGCACTTTGTGGGAAAAAAACTAATTTGAAAATTTGGCTGAAATGTAGAGCCGAAAAGACTATGTAAGTGCACTACCTTAGAACCATCGGTTCATAAGAGCATGATTATAGGTAGTAAATATGAGTAAATATAATTGGTTTTTATGTTAAACCAAAACCCATATTATCCCATATTTGAGTTTCTAAATATAGCATCTATATTACCTAATATTTAAGTAATTATACATCTTTCTCTTCATCAATCCCAATACAATTAATATTATAAAATTCATATATTACCCAACATATTTTACTACCTATAATCGAGCCAAGAGGGACGTGATTCTGTTTTGGACGAGTAAGCTGAGAAATTGGTGGTGTCAGTCTTTTTTCTCTTTTGGTGATTCAAAACCAGCTTTATATGTTTGAGAGACATCCAGTTTTATTCATTTTGTCTACCACAATATCTTAATAAATGTTAGAATAATTGAAACAAACAATAACTTCCAAAATGCGTGCCATTTGTGGATTCCGCACCATTTTTCTTCTCGAGTAAAGCAAATGTCCAACTATATACAATACAAGTCAAGATTGTTATAAGAGAGCTAATAACTGAAAGAAAAAAAAAAAAAGATCTGCATCTGCTGATACAAAGACCCAACCACTGTTCTTGTAACAATTACACTTTTTCTCTCTTTTTCTTTTTCACATTCTAATATTGAGAAAAACAAAACTTAAATATATATTTTGCTACCAACAAATATTAACGTCTCACGAATTAGCTACAAAGCCTAAAACGGAAAAATGATCACTAATACCAGATCCAACCCAAAAAAAAAAAAAACCAGATATGTTTCTGAGACAATAGATTACCTCACTGATGAATATCTTACTTCCCAAACTCTAACCATTCATCTGTTCCAACTGTTCTTCATCAGATCTCGTCAGTGAAATCGCCTCAGAAATGGACTCACTGTTACTTTTATTGTTGCCATTGTCCCTTTCTTTGGCCTCTTGTTCATCCAAACTATTGTTTTCTCCGGAAACATGTGTGTTCTCTGGTTCTTCTGTAGAAGAAGCTTTGACTTCTTCATCTGCTGGTTTTGGGTCATTAGAGATGGAAGAAGTGCACTTTTTTTTTATGCTAGGGTGTTCACGAGAAACAGAGGGATTGTTATTATTGTTACTATTGTTCTCTCTGTTGCTTTGACGTGTTACCCACACGAGCTGCAACATGTGTTCTTGCCAACAGTTTCCATTAGCTAACGCTTTCTCGGCTGCAGTACGTTTCACAAATGTGACACAAGCTGCACGGTTTTCGTTATATGTCTCATGGTACTTGTCACTATCAGTTGATGGATTGTCTTCTAGTTCCACTTTCGAGACTTCACCATAAGACGAAAAATGTTCCTTTAAGACAGCAAGCTGGAAGTACAAAATAGTTCAAAGCATCGGTAAGTGATTCAGTGACCTAATAATCCAGGTAACATCTAATTTGGAAAGTGAGAAAGTTTTGCACATTCATAAAGTTGAACAAAGGAAAGGGGACATACATCAGCTAACCCGGTTGGTAAAGGAGGGACCACTTTGATAGTAGTTGTGCGGTTGTCCAATTTATACCTATTTGCCATAGGAGTGTTCAAACTTGCGGTAAATGAATAAGGTCTTTGCTTCGAGTTTTTCAAATCGGACGATGGTGTTTCTATGCTTAGTTTAGCGGTGGAAACTGGTTTCTGGATAGGAACTTTTTTATCTGTCGATGACTCTGTTTTTGGTGATGCAACTGCAGCAGCAGAATCAGATGCTGAACCAGATGCTGCGTCTACTTTAAGGCGCTTAGCATCGGGCTCATCTGCTTCCTCGTCCTTGACAACCGTACCCTGAGAAGATTTAAAGGAAAGATGATATGAATGTTGTCCAAGTAAATAATTTCAACTCCATCTATGTGATGTTAAGTAAGACAAGGTCAACAGTTTTGTTTCTATTGTATAAATCATTAGCTAAAGACATCCCAAACCAAAAACAAATATATCGTGATGCTTATATGTCTACTCAAGTCTGTGTGAACCAAACTCAATTTTATGTTATATTCAGAAGTCAGATCTGCACTTGTCCAACATTTCCCACTTCTTCAATTTCCTAAAAGATACTTCTGAGATTCAAATCCTCAAAACTCACACTTCTACCTACGCTTAACTTTCTAGTTAGTGGTAAATTGTAATTTCTTTCAGAAAGGTACTAACGGGACTGAGAAAAAAAGAAAAGAATCTTACTTGTTTTTGAAGTGTCGCCAACTTTTTCCGGAACTCATTACGCTTCTGCTCCAACATTTCTTGCTTTTTCCGAAGAGTCTCCTTTAACCGCTCAAGAGTGTCTGCTTTTTTCTGCTGAAGCGGTGTAACCTTGGGACCACTGGTGACCACCACAGGCTTAGGCTGTTCAGAGGAGGAAGGTGCTCCACCAGTGTGGAAGGCAGGACCCTTTGCAGTGGAAGAGACATGGTTGCTTTTCAATGCTGCAGCAATAGGAAGTTGGTTCTGCCCTCCGGAAGCAGTCATACCACGACCCTTCACAGAACCATTGCCAGTGGACAGGCCATTATCATGTATACTATCTCTATTTGCCCACCAAAGTTTGATAAAGCGGTTACCCATCACAGCATCAGGTGCCCTGAGAGCAGATTCAGCCTCTTCACGTTTCGAGAACTGCACAAATGCTCGCTCGCTATTTAATGGGATGTGAATGTCAATAACTTTCCCAAATTTCTGAAAATGGGCAAGAATGAGGTCCTTTCTGTTGCTCTCGTGGGGAACATTGTTCACAAATAGAGTCCGCATCGCCTTTTGAGTTGGTTTCCTTGTATTGATCATCGCATCATTTGACATATTTGATGAATCAACCGCTTTTCCAACACTTTCACCAACATAGTTTTGTTTACCATGTCGGGATAAATTAACTGAGACCTCCTTCAATTGATCTTCAAGACCAGTTGACGAATTTGGTAATGCATCAGCTTTCTCTTTGAAATTCGCTTGACTATTAGAACCACGCATTCTGCCCCAAACAGATTGACTTGTGCTTTTTGAGTCATCTTGGTTATTGTCATCCAGCGGAGCTACATTCTCATCAATTCCATGAGAATTTAGAGCAGATAATGCACCTGAAGTTTCACCACCATTGTTATTCCACAAAGGTTGATCAGGATCGTAAAAATCAGTTCCAGCAGCACTAGGATATGCATCACCATAACCCAAACCATCAACAGCCATTCCGCCCTCGTGAATCTTCCCATGAGCTCCTTTAGTATTCATGAAATTAACACACCCAAACTGCGGAGGCACTGGTTTAGAAGAAGCAGCCAGATGAGGTGCAGAGACTGAAACGGGTAGGTTAAACTGTGATAGACTCTGCACAAATGGAGAATGAAAGAAAATTAATCACTCAAGTATACACAAGATTAGAACAGTCTATCAAAATGGTAGTCATAAGACTTTGTCATGCAAACCGAAGTATTTGCTACTTAACAACCAAGATAATATTAATATGCCTATAGAAATCAGAACGGAATTTGACTGTTTCTGAGAGCCATGCCAGGTAAACCCAACACTGAAAATGTTTAAAGAGTTTAATTCTGTGTCACTGAGAAGTACTATTGAAGGGCATAAAGCGTTCATACTAATAGCAACATATTCAAGAAACATAGTTCTGCTGAAATTTCCAGCTCAGAGGAGGATCATGCAGATAGTTATCAAATATCCAGCAAAAACTCTAAGTTCTATTGTGTTCCCCAGATAAATCTGATACCATTGAAGAAAGTAATGCAAGAAAACAAACCTGTACATCGTCAACAACAATACGATTCATTCCATGCTCCATCGGACACATATCCCCTCTGAGGCAGAAACCGCGTTCTTCAAAGTCTCTGCATCGCTGTCGAGGAATACCCATGTTGAGTGGAGCATTTAAGGGCGGTCTTAGGGATCCTTGTAAGTGGTGGAAACCATCTAAGCCACCATTTGGAACTCCAGAAAGCATTCCAAAAGCAGGCCATGGTGCACTCTGAGCTGCTGAAACACCAGCTAGTCCCCTTCCTCCAAACATGCCCGAAGCCATAGATCCAACTTGAACCATATGAGATGAGAGATCAACAGGATTAAACATGGAATCACGTTGACCCCAAGAGCCATAATTTCCTCTACCTCTACCAGGACCAGAGTCCCTTGAAAACATTGGGTTTGATCTCATTCTTTGATTATCAAACTGTACACGCTGTCCCGATGCTGCCCCTACAGACCGCTTTTCATGTTCACTAAACGAATTGCCATTTTCAAAATGTCTATAGTTTTTCCTGTACGGCCTTGAGTAAGCCTGATTTGAAGAATCTTCTTCCAAGGACTGTGACCTCGTCTCTTCTTTCCTTCGGTGCTTATGGTTACGATCGTCATCCTCCTCCTCGCTGATCTCATGCTCCTCAGGGTCACTCATACAATCAGGTGGAGATAACACAATTTGCTTTGGAGAGGAAACAGAAAGTTCCATTGACCCACTTGGATAATGCAGAGCTTCTTGTCTCTCATACAAAACTCTGATACAATTTGGTTTCCATCAGATCATTGAACAACAAAGAGTAACATACTAAACGAAAACCTAAGGATCTAATGTGCAATCAAAGCTCAACAACAACTATTCTCATATTCCCCTTAGATATTACTAAGCAACAATTATCTCACAACAACTCGAAAACCCTAACTAGTTAACAATAACTCAACAAGCAGGAGAAACCTAGGGTTTAAACGAACCTAAAGAGCTTCAGAAATTAAGATTTAGAAATCTTCAAAAAGGAAAAATCAATCTTACAGGTTTTTCCGGAATAATCAATGACTCTGCCGCTCTTCTTCACAGCCAAAAAACTGGATTCAAGGACCCGATTGTGAAACACGACGACAAAAAAACCTAAATCAAAAACAATGGATGTACATCTTTGGGAAGAGATAGTAGTGGCGGAGGGATCGTCGAAGAAGATAAAATCCGAGGCGGAGATGAGATTATTCGCCGTCGTTTTACGGAATTACAAGGAGAAAGCTGAGAATCACCGTCGCCGATTACGACTGCTCTGGTCGTTAGGGTTTGAAGGAGCTGCGAATAGCT